AAAAAAAGTTATTAAGTGCTAAATTTAACATATATAAGAGCTCAAGTAATAATCTAAATTGATACCAAAAATTACGATGCTAGAAGTGAAAAAAAGTAACTTAAATAGCTTAACTGAAAGAAATGTAACAAATAAAAACAAATTGAAAGAAATGTAAGCTAGACAAATAAATATTAAGCTTTTATTCGTAAATTTTTATACCCTTTAGATCATAACTGCTTCATTATTTCGTAAATCACAGTTTCATATTTTTAATTTTAATAATTTCTATCTTCCATTTTACTAGATTTAAACTAAGTATCTAATATCCGAAAAAATCTCAAATTGGAGATCACCAAAGTCCCTACGATGTGTAGCGTGTATATAAGTCAATTTCCCTTAGAAAGTTCTCCATGAAGGCATCCCTCCCCATAGGCAGATAGCCCTAGTGTGCTTTGCCATACAAAAATAAAACAAACCTAGTGTGCTTTGCCATAATTAAATTTAAAAAAAAAAAAAAAGTCCATCTGAGTCCGGATCTCAGACTTTGTACTGTGTTATCTTTTTTGTTTAGATTTGTAATAATTTTCTTTTATTTTTATGAAAGGGCAATGGTGTGAATGTATAAAATTCAGAGGTTCCTCATGTGAAATATGGAATAAAATTTTAAGTCTCCCTCAAAAAAAGTGTAGTAGTGAATCACCTGTACCTTTTTTATGATATCGTATCTCAAAACCAAAAATTATTTGCTGTATAGAACATTCTGCTTCATTTTGGAGCACCAAAAATTACAGAGAGCATTTATTTTCTGATCATCAAGTAATAAATGCACATGAAAAAGGCTTTCTCAAATTTTCTTGTGCAGAAGATATGTTGGTTTTTTTCCTTTTTCTAATATTTAGCTCAGAAAGTCACAAGCTTATATTTTTTTCAGAAAGTCTCTAAATACTAATAAATTATAATTTGTTTTCTTAACTTTTTCTAAAATGTATTGCATTTTAGTGTGATGTTTATTTTTTAAGAAATTTAACACATTGAATAAATTGATAGTAAAAATTCTCAATATACTGTATTTTTGAAAAGGTTAATATATAAATTTTTAAACTGTTTTATGTATCTACCGTCTTTTTCTGAAAATAAGACATCCTCCGAAAATAAGCCCTATCGTGATTTTCGGAACTCTTATTAAAATAAGACATCCCCCGAAAATAATCCCTAGTTAAAATATAAAATAATGTGACAAAAAGAATTCGTTAAAATGCTGTTGATTTATTAAAATAATTTTTAGCTTTCCTAATACTCGTATTTCAGAGATTTGAAACAAAATATTCGAGAAATAATGCCTTATGTTGTATTAAAATAAAAAGGCAAATTTCAAATATTCTCTCATTATGTTTAAATACAACATAAGGCAGCAGTCTACATTGAGCGACAGTGCAGGTATACAACGTTCATTCATTTTAGTCTTGTAAGTCTGATTATTTCCTCATACGTAATTTTATTTAAAAATAAAGTGAATAATTTTTAACCTTAGTTAAAATGAGTACAAAACGAAAGAGCTATTCCGTCAAGTACAAAAAGGGAATCGTGGAAGACTCCAGGGGTGTAAATCTTGTAGCATTCTGTAAAGAGAAGATGCTGGATCTCCGTATGGTTCGTAAATGGCGTGCAGACTACGATTACCTGTGTCAACTGGTGGACCAAGGAAATGAGAAAAAACGCAGAGTTGGATCAGGTCGGCAGCCGTTATTTTCTGAGTTGGAAGATTGCATCTGGGAATGGATTGCAGGCAGGAGAGCAATGGCTTTGGTTGTGCGCAGGGCTGATATTCAAAAATTTGCCCTTGAAACAGCAATTGAATTTGATATATCCACAGAAGAATTTAAAGCATCGTCACACTGGTTGGACAACTTCCTTAAACGATATGAACTGTCTCTAAGGAGATCAACAACATTGTTTAAGCTGGAAGACAATGAAGTTGTTAAGCGTGCACTTGCGTTTAAGCTTTTTGTTGATGGCATCGATTTTTCGAAATACCAACTCTCCAACATGATTGCTATGGATGAGACCGCGGTATTCCTAGGCCAAGGAGCTCAAACGACAGTTCACCACAAGGCTTCTTCGTCAATTTACGTTCCTTCTACCGGTTACGATAGTGCATGTGTTACTTGTATTTTGGCGATCCGTCTAGATGGCAAGAAAGTATCGCGATTTTTAATCACTAAAGGTAAAAATAACCAGATTCTACGTGTTAAGCCTGGTGCATCCAAGCAGTTATAAGAAAGTGGGTTGATTTTATGCTGACACCACTTTTGAGGGGGTCAGAATAGAGGTTTACTAGTTTGGGATTCAGCCAGTACTCACCGTGCTAAAGACATGAAAAACTTTCTTGCTGAGAGGAAGATTGATCAAATAATGATTCTGGCAGGAATGACTGGTTACCTCCAGACACTTGACATTGCAATAAACAAGCCATTCAAGGATCATTTGCGGATGGAAATCAATGAATATATTGAAAACAGAATGGTGAGAAATCATCGAGGTAATTTTGTAAAACCAGGCTTACAAGAAGTTGTGAATTGGGTAAAAAATTCATGGGACAAAATAACTGATAGTGATGTTTCCAATGCACTACGAACAGGCTACTTAGACAAGAAGTATTCATTTAACGATAGCTATATCGCAAGACATGAGAGATTCGGACCAATGATTCAACAGGAAATGGATTTGGAAGAAAATCAGAATATAATTCAGAATTTTATTTATGACGATGTTCCAGAAGAAGATGACATGACTGTAATTGAATAAATTTAAATTTCTGTATTCTGTGTAAAATAAATATTAAATAAAAATATATAAATATGCTTTTATATTAATATAAAATATATGAATTTGCCCTCCCCGAAAATAAGCCCTAGCGCGTATTATTGGACCAAAAAAGAAAGTAAGACAGTGTCTTATTTTCGGAAAAAGACGGTAATAAAATTTGAAATTCTCTCCCAATTTCAATACATAAGAAACGTACATATTACATTAGAAAAGTTGTCAGATTTTTGTATTTGAATCTCAGTATAATTAAAGTACTGGATTTATATTTGATTTCCACAATAGTATTTTTTCACAGAAGACTAGGTGCAGTGCTTTGCTTTTACAAATATAACGTGTGAAGGATTAATGCATGTAACAGACAAATTTTTGGAAAAAATATAACAAAACATGAGAAATGTAAAATGTGAAAATCTTCTTTATAATGTGTTATATATATGCAGTTCATAATCTGAAAAAGAGGTCCATGAGTGGTAAGACTGTTGAATACTGATAGTTATATTTAAATCCTAACAAATGGGCTTTTGGACACATTTTGCTCAGCTTATCTGGTCTGATGATCTCCTAAAATATTAAATGAAGAGCAAAGTATTTGTACCCAATACTATAAGTGATCTGCAAAACAGGATTACTGTGGCTTTGGAGACCGACATGCCAGTTAATTATTATGCCAGGCCATTATGTGTCTTGTAGGTATTACAAAAAACAGATCAACTATTGGAACAGGTATCATATAACCAAAAAATGCACATATCAAACATTTGAAGGTACATACTTTAAAGTTGTAGATTTCCAATACTACTAGAATTTATATTTCTGTAAAACATACTTATCTTACTTAAATCTACTTCCAGAGTAGGTTTAGAAAAATTAATATTGCTGACATTCAAGATCAGATAAAAGTATGTCATACTTAACTGACAGAAACATGTAAAATTAAAGTAAGGCAAAAATAGCAGCTTGACATAAAATCTTTTGTCAGTTTTAAGAATTAACTGATATAGGTCCATCTTCTGAAGTAAAAAAAAAAAACACTTCTCAGATTTTGCAAGCACCATATATCAGGTAACCCTTGAAATTAATAAAAATTATTCAAACACTGCATTTGTCTAAGCTTTTTGATTTATTTTAACCTTTAAATTTATGGTCTATCAAAATTTTGAATTTTGTGAAAACTATATATTTTGAAGAATTGGGGATCACAGTTGGGGAAATTAATTTTTTTATTAGGTTCGTTCCTTGTTTGGAAGGAAATCGGCCTTTTTCATTACCAGAATGGAACCCACTCGACAATTACTCTGAGCTGAAAGTTCTTGAAATTTCTCTAAATGTCTTCAAATATTGCTGTGGTATATAAAAGTAAAATATATTTATCCTTTCTGAGCAACAGTAATACTATTAGGTTTTTGCAACATTAAATGAGGTACAAAATGTCCATTATGATATCTTCAGTGGTGAACTGTAGGATGTTTATATGAGCCCTTTGTTAAATTTGTCTTGAAATTGCAAACTCCATGTTCTTTTTGTTTGTTTATTAAAAACCATCATAACTTGGAATACGACAAAAAAGAATGCATACAAAAATGTTAGCATTGCTTCACTGAAGTTTGTTATGAGCATGGTTGCAGGAAGAATGGTTATGCACATAGTTGCCAGAGTTTCATTCATTATGAAAATTTGGCAAGTTCTACTTAAGTAGTTGTGTTAATACATTAGTCCTGAGGACTTGTACCTGTTTGCCCTTGAAATTGATAGAGTTCTTGACGTTCTTCTATGTCAAACACAAGGTTGTTGCTTTGCTACTTTTATAGAAAAACAAGTTCTGTAGATATGTTTATCAATTTATATCTGGGGTGAATACCTAATAAAAATGTAAAATATTTACGTATAAATCATTATTTGCAATTATATGTTATCAATATTTTTCTTTTATAAAAAAGTGCCACATTCTGCCAAGATAATTCCTCTAATACTTAACTAGTACTATTCATTTATGTATTAATGAATGTTATGTGTCCTGTCAAAAAATAGAAATGTGAGTGTTAATTGCATTTTATCCTAATTGCACTATATCTTCCTCTCCTTTTTTCTCTATTTCAAACATTTTCAAATTTTTATCATTCTGATAAAAAAATTTCTTTTTATCAGGTTATTTATATAATTTTTGTAAGCTTAATAATCATACATTTTATTAGGTAACATGGACAATTCTGTGATATTAATTGCTGCAAGTGCCTTTGGGGTTTCAACTATCATTATTGCTTTCATAGGTTGTATGTGGTGCCGCAATAAATGGAAAAAGGCATGTATTTTTGAAATATTTTCTGCACTTTGCTGGTATTTAATTTACGTGTAAACTTTACTAATAGTTCATTGACTTCAGTATGAGAAGGAAGCAGTACTGTATTAGTGTTTCCTTTAATTTTGTTTAGCGTAAATAGTTTTAATTTTTGAATGAAACCTGTAGGAATACAAAAGAAGTGAATTTTAATTTCAAATTTATTACAAATATATACTCTATTAATATTTTAAAGAAATTTTCAATGTTTCAGAATGTCTTATTAAATATGAAAATGTCTTATTACAGTCCAGGCTAATTTTAGCCTATTTTTCAGGAAATATTAAGCTATGGAACATATAGTACTTGTAAGTTGGTACTGTTCTGTTATCAAGACCGGATTCAGAACTGTGTGTATGTATGTGCATATATATATGCACACATAGTACATTCGTAAGTACATATATACATGCATACATGATCACCTACATCCATAATTACAGTTCTGAATCTGGTCCTGATAACAGAACATTACCTGTAAAATTTTATAATTTAGAACTTTTTATTATTTTTTAAATTTTATTTCATATTCATAAATTTTTCACTTGTATGTGGTTTGTTTTTAGTACCTTAGTTTATAAAAAACTATATCTAGTAGTTTTAACTATATATACTAACAGTTTTAACTATATACAACTATAACTATTTTACTATATATAGTTGTTATAACTCTCTACAACTATAACTATATATACTATTTTTAACTATTTTACAACTATTTATAGTAGTGGTATATATAATTTGTTTAATACCTTTAAATTTATAAAAACTATTTTTGTATTTATGAATTGTTATTAACTGCATATGCAGTATTGTGCTGATAGTTATAATTGAAAGCATTTTTTTTAATATTACAGTCTAATTAATTAAAATGTATTCATATCCACCACTCCATTTTGTCAATTTGATACATGTTCTTTCAAAATTAGGCAAAAATGCAGCCTTAGATTGGCATTGATTTTTAATAAGACCCTGCCAGCTTTGAAGATGATCTAGCATAGGTCTGTCTCTTTCAGGAGCAAAAAATTTTTGCTGTGACACTCTAGAATTGCTTTTTTTGCCTAATTTAATTTTCTACTTTAGCATTTTTCTATTTCACTTGCATGCCCTCTTATGTAATAATAATTATTACTGCAGTGCTTTCTTAATTTTATTAATTGGTATACAAAATAGGAGTTAGTAACCAAGACTACCATTAATATATATAAAATGCTTTTGAACCACTGTTAAAGTTTATAAAAATAGAGACTCAAAAAAATACAGGTATATTTTGCTTAATTTTACTATCAGATATTCAGCATAGGATTCCCCCCCCCACTACCTAAAGGCCTGTATTTTTTTTAGAAAGTGAACTGAATATTAAAAAGCAAAATAATACTGAAATGGTTAGTTAGTTCTGTGATTAAGGATATGCTATTTGTCTCATTTTAGTTGTTTCCAAGGCATTACTTCTAGAAATTCTGAATAAAATTTTTAGGGAGTGCACATTTTTCCGCCAAAGGGATTTGAATTTGAATTAGTTATAAGTAACATTATGATGAAAAAATATGCCTCAAGACATAAAGATGATATTTTGGCACGCTTTTTAATTTTAGCATGTCATTAGACCCTCTAGCTGGCAAAGGTTTGACTTTAAAATCCAAAATTTATCAAAATTGCTATAGGAAAGCATTTTCTTGAATACAATACCAAAATGCCCCTGCCACTTTATGCCTGCATTGTTTTAGTATACTGCTTTAATTTCTTCTTATGTATATTTCAAGATACATTTGTGTATAATTACTTAAAGGCATTATAAAAATGTTCTATTGCAGGCACACATATCGGGTAAGACCGTAACTTCGTGCGAATTAAGAGTATGCATGGAATTCACTATGACGCATTTATTAAAAAAATACAATTTTGACCCTGTTGAATCTTGCCGTCGTTTGACTAGCTTATTATTCAGTTCATCACCAAATTTCTTAAATATCAAACGCATTTTAGTACCCATAGAAGATGAATATAGATAGATAATCAGTACAAACGTGCCGTGCCACATTTTTTATTTTCGTGTGGTGAATCTGCCAGGTTTGCAGCGATAAAAATTAATAATGTGCATGGTGATACACTATTAGTGTAAGGACTTCCCAGAAATGGTTTAAAAATTTTTAAGTTGGAAAAAACAGCATTGACGATAATCCCCGTTCAGGAAGTTTAAAACTGTCAGAACCAAATCAAACAATTAATTCAGAAGTTTATAGTGAACAACTTTGCTGTCTAAACTCAAAATTGATCAAAAAACACCCACGATTGGTGAATATCAAGAAAGTGTTGTTTCATCATCATAACGCTATACTGCATACGTCTCGAACAACGCTACAAAAAATTAGTGAATTTAATTGGGAGCTTTTGCCACAACCTACTTACTCCCCAGATATTGCCCCAAGTAATTTCCTTTTTGGTGCCTTCAAAAGTTTACTGGGGGAAAATAAATCTAACAGGATGTACACAATGGACTTTCAAGTTTTTTTTTGCATCAAAACCAGAGTCTTTCTACAGCAATGGCATAAAAAAGCTGCCTGTAAGATGGCAAGACATTGCAGATAATGGAGAAAAATATATAATTTATTAACCTCTTCGTCGTCTGTAACGCGTCTAGCGCATTCAAGTGAAACTTCTGCAGGGCAGCCGTAATGCACTTCAAGCATTTCTACATTTTAAAACTTCTGCAGGGCGGCCGTAACGCGCTTCTACATTTTAAAGATTTTAAACATTTAAAACACTTTTTAAATGCGTACTTGTTTGAGTTTTTATTTTTGTTTGTTCCAATACCTCCTAGAGGGCAACACTAATCAGCATTCTATTTTAAATTGAATTTCCCCGCGTTTTATGAATATTCACGCCATTTTACATAAGATACAAGACAGTGAGAGATGGCTTCAATGTCTACTCAGCAGAAAAAGAGAAAAAATGAGGTTGTGAATTGGAAAGACAAGAAGGATATACATTTGATGAGTGCAGTCCATAATAACACGATGATTGATGTTGAAACACGGAAAAGAACTGTAAAAGAGCCAATAATTGTAAAGATTACGCACAAAATCGGAGGAGTGGACCCCGGATCAGTGTTATCAAATTATCCTGCTGTTGAATAAGAAGAGATATTATTACTTTTCCATTATGCTTTATTTCCTTATAATTTTATTTAATATTCATTTACGTTCATCCACTACGAAAGTTATGTATGGAAAGTTATGATGTACAGAGAAAATAATGTTAAATTTATTACACACTGCGAAAAACAGAAATCCGCTGGGGAGAAATTTTCGTGGACAGGAGAGGATGGCAAAAGGGTTAAATTGTGTTTTTTTATATTATTTAAAAATTTACCAAAAAATGCGCACAAATTTATGGACTGACCCAATACACACATGATCTGGCTGGCTAGAGGGTTAATACACCAAGCTGAGTGATGTTAAAGTACACTGGTGAAATAAATTAAAAGAATTTGTATATTTTATAAAATTGCATGAAAAGAACTGAACTGAAGGAAACACCACTGCTTCTAGATAAAAATATACGGCAAATAAGTAAGTGGCAAATACGTAAGCGTACGCGTGTTTGTAGGTGGAGCCAGCAGAAAAACATGCTTTATAAGCATGTGTGGAGGGTAAGACGAATTATGTTTGCTAGTACACCTCGGCAAATTTCTTGGTGTTATCTTGCAGCAAATCGGTTAAATTCATATTGGATCAGTAAAAATGAGTAACTACAAATGTTTAGATGATGGAATGAAGTGGCGAATTGTGGGGAGATTAGAGGCAGGCCAATCGCAAGTCCAGATATGCAGAGATTTTAATGCCCAGCATCGTGTGTAACCTTTGGAAACAGTTCTAGGATACTGGATCCATCGAGAGAAAGCCTGGGCAAGGTCGTCCGAGAGCCACGATGGCCACAGAAGACTGCTATTTGTCCATTTTAGCGAGGCGTAATAGAGGGGCTACAGCTTCTCAGCTCTCAGGACCTGTATGCAGCCACAGGAACACATGTAACAAGGGTGACTATTTCCAGAAGACTGAATGAGAGAGGGTTGTTTGCTAGAAGACCAGCTGTTTGCATACCATTCACATCTACTCACAGGAGAGTCCGATTAGCATGGTGCAGGCAGCAGTGATTGGAGTATGGAACAATGGGTGACCGTTCTGTTCACTGATAAGTCCCGTTTTAGCTTAAACACCATTTTTCACCATACTTTCACATGGAGAGAGCAACCGCTGTTTCAAGCCTTCAAACTTCCATGAGTGTTACACATGAACATGTGTGTCTATTATAACTGTTGAATGTTTATTTTGTATGTATTGTTGTGTGCGTACTTGTTCGTTACGAAATGATTGCACAAATACGATGAAAAATGAACAAAATTTATTATTATCACAACAAAAATGCTTAAATTTTCTCGGATATTCGCGCAATATTACAATATCTCACAGTAGATATCTTCTAACCTCAAACGTTCAACAGAACTTAATTCAAAACAGCTAAAGAAAGCTAATCCGTGAATTCGCTACAGTCAACAAGAGCAGTTTTCTAAACAAACTCTTAAAACAACAACAAACTAACTAACAACAACTGAATTGAGAGGTTTTCCTCCTTTTTATAACATTTTAAATCGTGCGTGAGAATTTTCTCAAAATCAAAAAGAGATATTTATTTATTAAATGTTAAATGCACGTGCTCTTGTATTTTTAATTTTACAGCTTAGCTTTCCTATAATATTCGACACCCGCTACACTGCACGGGAATAAAGCAGTTTAATTTATAATTAGTCCAAACGGCATCACCTTGAACTGCCAAAGTCCATGTCCAGTAGTAAATGCAGTCTTTTCTCTGTCATAAGGATGTATTTCTACTTGCCAATACCCACTCTTTAAATTAAGTGTTGAGAACTAGTTGCTTCCAGAAAGTGTGTCCAGAATGTTATCAATTCTAGGAAGAGGGTAACTGTCTTTCTTCGTAACCTCATTCAACCGGCGATAGTCAACACAAAATCTTGTTGAGCTGTCTTTCTTTCTGACAAGAACGATGGGAGATGCCCATGGACTTGCTGAAGGCTCGATGACATAGCCTTCTTCCATATCCTTTAAAAGTGTTCGTACCTTTTCCTGTTTAGCAAACGGTAGACATCTTGGATATTGCGTGATCAGGGGATGATCGCCAGTATCGATTCTATGTTGTATCAAACTGGTTCAACCCATGTCAGAAGACGAGTGGGAGAAAACAACTTGAAGATCTTTAATGACGCGATCGGCAGCATTCCTCTCTTCATCATTTAATTGCGCACTCTGCAATAACTCCGATGTAATGCTCTCTGAGGACACGGATTCTGGGATGTTACTGTTTCTTTCAATGCTAGTTACTGGAGTACAAGCAGCATCCACTTCACCTTTCTTAATAACTCAGTTACATTGGCAACTCTTACCGGGATAACCGTTCTCGATAGGTCGACGCCTTCTCAGTTACATTAGCAACTCTTACCGGGATAACCGTTCTCGATAGGTCGACGAGTGTTGAGGCTATTAGTACTCCTTTTGGGCTATTACAGTTATTGGGATATTCTATGATGCCGTAGCGGAAATCTCTGTTTTCGGCTATGGATCCAGGAAGTAAAAATTCTGTTCTTGCGGGTATTGTAATGTGGTCTTGAGCTATGATTTTGTGGCTAGATTTAACTCCTTCATTATTAATTCCAAATAGGGCTATGTGCTCAGATGCAAAATGTAATTCATTATTTTTAAAGTCCAAGGAAAAATTGTATTTCCTTAGAAAGTCCAATCCGAATGTGCAAGGATCTGTAATCTCTACTACATATGTCGTGTGATGGTAGGCGGCACTTCCAAATGTTATGTTAATGTTTATTTTTCCATCGATGTCGATCTTCTTACCGGACATAGTCTGGAGCGTAATGCACGGCGGCGTCCAGATAAGTTTGCTTCCCAGTTGTTGAGCCAAATCTTTTCAGATGATGGTAACGTTGGCTCCTGTATCCATCGTCATATTGCAGGGACCTCCATTGATATGTCCTATTATGCAAAGTCCATTACTGCCGCCTCTCACTGCAGAAATCTTAGCGCTTTAAACTGGGGCTTTTCATTATCTGGCAACCTCCGCCCCGCGAGATGGCCACTAATTAGTTCCCTGCTGCTTGCTAGGAGTGGTGTTTACATCCGTGCCCTTAGGTGTTCTGCAGTTCTGTTGTATGTGTCCTTCAGCTCCAACATTTTACAGTCGGTTTATTGTCACCAATATTCCATCTCAAGTCATCGAGTTGAGTTAAATCATCTAGACGGGCAGCCATTTGGTCCTCTGGCTTTTGGACTTGAGCAGCTCTGACTGGGTGGCGGTCTGTACGAGTTGCTTGCTGGGCTGCCTCGAATTTCATGGTGTACACTAGAGCACTTTTAAGATCTTTAACATCCGCCATTCATAGAGCTTTCTGTATTTCAGGATCCCGGATGCCGTCAATGAAGTATTGGAGGGACAGGATTTCCCTTGTTTCTGTCAGGCACTCCGCAAAGGCGAGCGGGGACAGCCTTTCAACATCTGTGGCGAGTTCCTGAAGTGTTTCTGTATTTTTCTGTTGGCAGGATTTTAACTGAAGTCTACTGTAGTCTTTCAAACGTTTCTCTCCAAACCGCAGCTCCAATGCGCCGGACAGAGCTTCGAAATCTATCTTTTGGTTTTCGGGAAGAGTCTGAAGGATGTCCGCTGCGTCTGCTCTCAAATAAGCGGTGAGATGACAGACCTTAGTTTGGGAATCCCATCCATTCGCATCCGCAATGATAGAAAATTGGGTCTTATACACTTGCCAGGAGGTCTTCCCTGGAGTTTCAGAGACGGATGAGCAGGCATTGATAAAAATTTTAAAACCATTCGAATTGCTCCCTGCCGTCGCTACGAATTTCTTTAAATTATCCACTTCTTTGGCAACTGCAGAAACTCTGTCATCAATTTTTTGTTCGATTTGTTGTTTGACAGCAGAAACCTTTTCTTCAATTTCTCCAACTCTGTTTTCAACCGTGTCAGTACTGTCTTCTATAGCTTCAAATTTGTTTTCTATTATGCATGTTATTTCTCTTTTAATTTCCTCTTGGCCCACTTTCATTTCTGATTTAAGAGCTTCCATCTTTTCTTGAACCGCTTTCATTTTCGCTTTAGCGTATTCTTGACCCAAATTCATCTCTTCTTGACTAGCATCCATGTTTCTTTGACTGTTTTCATCTCCTCTCTAACAGATTCTTGCCCAAATTTCATCTCCTCTTTAACAGAGTTAATTGCCCCTTCCATCTTTTCTCGGAAAGCAGCAAATGCAGTCTTTAATTGCCTGAATTGCTCTTCCATCGCTCTTGTAATTGGCATTTAAAAATCCCACTTCTGACACCAAAAATTGTTGCGTGCGTACGGGTTCGTTACGAAATGAATGCACAAATACGATGAAAAATGAACAAAATTTATTATTATCACAACAAATGTGCTTAAGTTTCCTAAAGTTTCCGTGCAGTATTACAATATCTCACTGTAGTTATCTTTTAACTACTCAAATGTTCAACAGAACTTAATTCAAAACAGCTAAAGAAAGCTAATCTGCGAATTCACTACAGTCAACAAGAGCAGTTTTCTGAACAAACTCTTAAAACACCAACAAACTAACTAACAACAACTGAATTGAGAAGTTTTCCTCATTTTTATAAGATTTTAAATCGCGCGCGAGAATTTTCAGGAATTTTCTCGAAATCAGAAAGAGATATTTATTTATTAAATGTTAAATGCACGTGCTGTTGTATTTTTAATTTTCCGGCTTAGCTTTCCTATAATATTCATCACGCGCTACACTGCATGGGGAATAGACAATTTAATTTTTAATTCAACTAACATTAGCTATTTAAATACCAAATCCGTAGCAGTATTATGTCAACCTATGTTCACACTAAATTTTATTATATCTGTCCAGTAGTTCTGGAGATCGTTGATCAAATATGAAAATTCTCTTAATTTATTTCAGCAGTGAGTGATGTTATAGTAAAAGCCATTAAAACTTGTAGTTCATTTGAAGTTCATGCCCTGATGAAATGACATGTCTTTTGTGATACCTTTTCATTGGCTTCTGTACTTTATATAAGGAGAGTCCCTTTCCTTTAAAAACTCCTGTGTTAAATCATTCTTATTAAGAAATAAATTTCCTATTCCTAGACAATTTAATTTTTGTCTTTTTAATCATAGAATTATTATTGTAGTATAATCTGAAATTTTGTTATTTTATAGCTAACTCAACGCCATTACAGACTTAATTCAGTTCATGAAACATCTGTGCCACCTTCACAAAATGTTACAGAATTTACCATTTTCCCACCTCCATCGAGCAGTCAGTTCAGCCTACCACCTGGTATTAGTGGAGATGAAGTAGTATTTGAACCTCTGCCAGAAATAAGGAGTCGTGTTTTAGAATCTACTTCTGAAAATATTCGTCCTGCTCGTTTTATGGGATCTTTCGGTAAAGTCTCTCTTCAAGACTGGTTTGGTAAGTAGAATAAGTAATCTTTTTGTCATTAATCATTGCTGCTGCATTTTATTCCTTTGCACATATTAACAAAAGTTAAAGTGAAACAGCCATGCATGCTGATTTTGCTTTTTTTTCCTTTTTTTACACATTTTTAGATTCTTAATTCAGCGAACTGAAAAGAAACCATTTATCATAGCTTTATGTTTAAGCTTTAAAATGCAGTATTACAGGAAAATATAAGAAAATATAAATAGATTTGAATTTAGTAGTTATTTGTAATGCAATTAACCATTATATAATTTATCCTTTTGTACTGAATGCAAGGTGAATGTGCTTTTTTGAAAATATATTACAGGGAAAAAATAATATTTGTGTGCATGATGGTCATCGCATGTATCATGACATGTATATGGAAATATCCAAAAAAAGATAATTAAGGTGTCTAAATGTATATCTAATGTCTAAATGTACCTTGCATAAAATAAATCAATATAGTTCTCTTTAATGTAAAAGTAAGAGAATAAGTGATAGATTAACATGTTTTTCAAGTGTTAAGACTATGAGTATAACTATTGAAATTTATGTAAATTTTTTTTTTTTTTACTGTACTGGATTAAAATGTGCAGTTTATTATGAGAATGATAACAAATTAAAATTTTATCGTATTAGAAATTTAATTTTAATGTTATAAAATTTGTTTAAAAATTAAGTAACAAGTTTTAAGATTTTTTTTATTTAGTGGAGATTGTTACATTTATTTCTCTGGAATTAATAATTATATTTTTGAATTTTATTAAAAAAAATTTTTGCATTAATGTTAGGATTTTTGAAATTATTTTGAGAATGAGATTATTTCTAAGAATTTTGTAATTAACTTGAGATAAAAAATAAATGAAATAGTTTTGAATGCTAAGACAGAAAATGGGAATAAAATTGTGTTTCAAGTATAATGTAGCAAATACTAATATTTTGATACTGAATAGTATTCTAATGAATATAGAAGTATTAATAATTTAAGAAATTGAATAATTGTAATACAATTAAATGAGGAATGTTATTAAGAAATGAAATTAATGCAGAAAATAATTTGAAATTGTGGTAAATGAATGTAATAGTTAATGAATAAATGAATGCAAGTATACGATATGTTGAGGGAATACTGGCTCAAAAACATAGGCTTACCTCTGAATCATTGTTCCTTTTACCCTCCTCACACAAAATAAAATTGAAGGCTATCACTGCATAAAAAAGTAATTTTTTCATATAGAAATAATATATATAATGGAATGTCTTAGGGCAGTTTACAAAGGTGTTCCCTTATCTATTGAATGGAGGCCTCTAGAAGTAACTGCTGAACATCCCTTAACCACTGGTGAATTAATGCATCAGTCAGTAAAAGTGGATATGCTCAAACTGATGGAAATCTTTCTATTTGAAGAGGGATGTTTCACTTTTGTTAAAAACAAGGAAATTAGAAATGTAATAATAAGAGTGAAACTATAATTTCAATAAGATTGTTGCTATATTTATGATATTAAAATGCAAGCTATGGATATGAAAATTAGTTCTGTTATAAAATTTCGAAATTTGTTATGATTATTAAAAATAAGTAATAAGTGAGAAAATTTTTATATTTATGATATTCTGTTAAAAAAATCTGAAAAATCTGTCATGAAGAAACATGATCATGATGTGGACCTCCCCAAATCAGGAACTTTTTAAAATTTTACTGATATATAATTAACAGGACTCTTAAGAATTACTTTTGAGCAACAAGATCTTTTTCCAGATTGGACTCAGTATAATTCTAAAAATTGATTTGTTCTGAAAGCTATAGTTCTCAAAATTAATGTTGTGTATTATTTAAAAATTTAAGTGCAAAATTTAACAATTTACATTTTGTTTATTATATTTCTTTTATTTTGCTGTTCTAATATTTTCCTTTCAAAAAGGATTTTGTATCACTATTCTCTCTTTGAAGGGTAGATATGCAAGTAAAAATATGTGAAGCAAACTTCCAATAGGCAGTAGCCTCTGTTATTCTTCATTTTAATTTGTGTATTTCTACCTTTCTGTCCTAAAATTAATGACAGTCTGAAATATATAAACTCAGAGTTCATAGCACTTCTTAGAAGTGCTTATAAGTCCTTATATTTGAAAATAAGATATAAAAGCCCTAGGTGCTTACGTTTTCTCTAAAGCACTTATTTTTTTTTTTTTTTTTTTTTTTTTTTTTAGTGCTTATTTTTTTTAATGAATGCACATTTTTTTCCCATACCAAAGCCGAAACTAAATAAACAACTTTTCTTCCTTATATGGAATGTCAAATGGTGAATCATACTCCCAGAAATAGCTTTCCGCCCCTTTCTCTGCATTAACATAACCTTTGGTGTACGCGAGTGCAGACAGATGCACATCGTTCTATTGGTCAAAGAATTGCAAAAGTTGTAGAAAATTCTAATACGTTCCGTATTCTTTTGCTCCCACCCAATACTACACACGTTTGAATTTCTATCAAGATTTTAATAATTTACATTCTTGTTCCGCATGGTCAGTTCATATTCACGCTTATTATGAGCATAGGTATGAATATTTATAATAATATATTTGCAGTAACTGCTGATTAAACTTCAAAAATGGATAAGTGTGTTTTAACACAGATTAGTTTTCTAAGGAATAATATTCAGAATGACATAAATAAAGTGAAAGTAATCAAATAGTCAAAAAAAAATTTTTTTTTTTTTTTTTTGCCAATGCATTATACAGTACGAAAGTTGGGGGTTCTCCCCTTTCTCCACAGAATCTCGAGCATTGAAACTATTACAGTTTGCGGCAAAGCAAGGGACTTTTTTTTATTTTGATCACTTTCTAATCTGGATTGAATAGGACTAAAAGTTCTGCTGTGTACCAACCCAAGCGAAGAATGATTCTATTCCAGAAATTTAACGCAGTCTGTTCAAAATTACTATGAAAAACACCCTTGTTTAGTAAATCTCTTTATTAATCAATATGAATATGGCAGTGTCCTGCTCAATGATAAATATGCCACATGGGCGCATGACTTTGAAAACCAGACAAAGCAAAGGGGCTTTTTCCTTTATTTAGTTATTTATTCTCCAAATACCGGCAGCTGATTCCGATTGCGTAATATCACATGCAGAAGAATTAAGGCGCTTGTATTGTTCAATAACGTTTGTGATATTTCTCAGAGATAAAAAAGTTTTACTGTGTGCTTGCTAAGCAGATTATTTTTCAGTTCCATTGGGCTTTTTATATGATGCATATATTGAAATGTCAAAAGCATTATTTAGCTGGAAAATCTAAAGAATGACTACAATCTACCCCCCTTCCAGTTTTATCAGTTACGCTCGATTATCCGGAATTTTCAGATATTCTACAATTTCCGAGTATGCCAATTAGTTAAGCTTTTACTGTTAAAGGATGACCGCCTGAAGCATCTTCTCATTTCAAAAAAGTTCCTTTTTTTACTTATTTTTACTTAAATTACTTTGCTTGCAATATCTGTTAAGGGTTATCTGTTATACAATGAATGTTAATATCTGTTATACAATGAAAACTTAGAAAATGTTCAGAAGTTTGATTTAAGTTAAATTATTTTAATAATAATATGAGTGGGAAAATAAATTGTATTTAATTTTAGGTGCCAAATGAATATAATAAATATAGCTTATTATTATTTATTTTCTGTATTTTGAACTGAAATTTCATCATTAAATCTTGTAATATAATTTAGTTCTGTATAGTTTTTTTTCCCTCTCATTGTAAACTAGTTCTGTAAATTGAACTGTTATTTAAAATTAAAAATATATATATATATATATATATAATTGTTTTCCATGTTTGAGTAATGCTCATTCTCCCTTAATAAATACTGAATTTCTCATATTTGAAGTTACAAGTCTTAATTTTTCTTTTAAGGTTATGCAGTTGTGTATAATGTAATTAGACAGGTGCTTTTTTTTTTTTTTTTTTCTTAAAATGTGCTTGAAAAGTGCTTATTTTTTTAACTAAAATGTGGCTACGAACCCTGAAACTGCATCATTTCAAAATTAATATGCATCATATGATTTTATGTAATGCTAAATTGCAGGTGTGTTATAGCCAGTCTCTCTTTTTTTTTTTTTTTTAAAGCTAGCTTTCTTCTGAATATGTCTTTGCACTAGATCAATGAATTTTTCATTGATCACACATTTCGTGTGTCAGCCATGAATAATAATAAAAAAAAATATTTATTTTGCCCATCTCTTCAAGTTTCTTCTTTATGCATCTAATATGGCACCAGCTTTTCCAAGATATATCACATATATTTATTTCATTTTATGTTTTCTTAAATATCTAAATACCATCTTAATGAATGGATTATGAGAAGACAAAGAATACGGTAAAACAAATGATTATACAAATGTAGTTAGTAAATCTTGTTTAAATGTCATTATTCATGAACAGATCCCAAAACTCATATCATACAAAAAATTAACTGTAGTCAATGAAATGGGGGAAAATTGGTTCTTTGAGAAAATCATTAAATCTTGGTCAATTAAATTAAGATTTGGCTGTATATAGAGATTTTTATGTAAATAAAATGCATGTTATTCTAAATGGTAATGGTAGTGTGTTAGTTTCTTATGTTATAGAGTAGCTAGAAATAAAGATACACATTTTGATGATAAACTCATCAAAATTTATTGGAAGCAATTAGAGCTAACTCAGTTATAGCTGCTCTTGAGGTCAGGGAATTTCTATCTACATTCAACATATCAAACAATTTCATGTCGAGAAACTCCATTACCTGTCTTGTAGTTGTATTGTGGCAGGGGTCCATCCAATTGTAATATCACTATAAATTGTAAATGATGTAATTAAGGAACTGTAATATTGTTGGGCATGTTTAAGAAAAGCTTTCCTATAACCATTTGGCCTTTGGAAAAAAAAAAATTGCAGGTGTGGCCTTCGAAAAAAAAAATTGCAGGCTGATGACTTACTTCGTCATTAAGTTAAGTTGCAACAAATGCTCAGTTGTGGAAGGTAGTATTCAGTTTTGGACAGGTTATTTCAGATATGCTTTGTATGCACATATATTAATATAATCCAAGAATTGGAAGTTGTCTTATCTGAGAAAGCAATCTGAAACAGCTATATTTCTTTCATTATCTGGAACTTTTATATACATATTTTTTTATGCATAACATCATGAATAGTCAATCTTGGAAATCATAACTCGTTTTTTTTCTCGTTCACTGCTCGTTTTTCAGATTGACTTAGGTAGGTTCTGTGTGGAACTATCTGTTTTCAACTTGGCATGTTCATCTGCTTACCACTGTGATATACTGCTAGCTGATAAAAATTATTCCTTCCAAGCCTTTAAAATGCAACTATGAAGTATATATATATTTATATGAAAGAGAAGCCTTCTGAAACATATAATGGAAGTTTCATTGTTTATATCATTCCTGTGTGCCCTCGCACACTTTTTTTCTCCTTTCTGTACTGACATCATTTTTATTTGCACATCACCAGCATGGCTACTGCTAGACAGATATGTATGAAAATTTGTCCTCATTAATGTATCATTTGTAAAATTGAAAATTATGCCATTTTTGTTAATCAAATGGCAAACAATTTCAAAAATGCTAGACTGTTAGGGTCTGGAAGTTGATTTTGATTTATTTCTTATATATAAGGGATTCAAATTTGGCCTGGACTGTTGCTGGCACAGACCACTACCTATGCACAATGTTGTGTGTCCTTGAGTGTGTACAAAACACACAGCACCTGATCTTGCCCTCACCTGACCTTCTATGCAGATTAGAAACTTGCTGACTCCTGTCTTGCAGTCATGAATGTCGTGAGCAAACAACAGCTCCCTCAAAGTCTAGAACAATGCATTGTGATCAGATTTCTTGTTTGAGAAGAAGTCCAGTCATCTAAAATTAAGTAGAGACTCCAAACACAATATAGAGAAGAGTTTTGGAAGTCTCTAGTGACTGTCAATAAAACATGAATCCACTAGTTCAAGTCCTATGCTTAAATCTTACTTTGAAGGCATGCAGTCATGCACAGTGCTGTTGCATCAGTATTTGGGAGTGGATTCACAGTCAGGGTGAAAAACTGCTAAGAAAAGGGTATGGAAATGCTACGATAATGTTGGTGTGTTGACTCTGGGAAGGGAGTGCATTAAAAGGGTGATATGCTCAACTCTTTCATTTACAATAAAGATTTTGGGAAACAAAATGGATATGGGAAACAAAATTGATGGTCATACTCAAACCACTTTGTAACTGGTAATTTTCTTCGAAGTGTATATTATACAGAAATATATATTTTTAATTAGACAGTTGTTTAGTTTTCCCGAGGATTAGAATAACTGAAAAATATATGTTTAACGAAATCACTTAATTACTTATTTAGTGTATCAGTCCTGTCCCTATGTTTTACATCATTAGTTAAGTTTTCTGCTAATTTATTCATAATGACTAAATAAATTATAGAATTGTAGGAATATATTTTTTATATTTGATGCTTTTGTATGTTTTATAGATGAACATCAGATAAATTTCCCAAGGACCCAGTTGAAGTATCTCCGTGAAGTTGGCACTGCATGGTATGGCCAAGCTGTAGAAGGTGAAGCTTATAGTATTCTACAATCTGAAGAAAAGACAAAAGTGGTGGTGAAAATACTAAGAGTAGATGCAACAGCTACTGAACACATGCAGTATTTACAAGAAACTCGACCATTTAGGTGCATTATTTTTGCTGTATGGTTCTGATGTAATATGATTTATTTATTTATTTAAAATTTGTAATATTTTTATTTCACAATTATTTTTTATTTTCATCTATTACATAACATACAATGAATGGCAGAATGTTATTAAACTAGTTTTATGAAAAATAACATAATAAAATATTCCAAATCAGTGATATCTCCTTCAGAATAGTTTCTTTAGAAGGTTACATGTTTTTAGAGACAACAGTTCCCTTCTTCATAGCATTGCTAGAACACTTGATATACACTGAAGTGACAAAAGTCATGGGATAGCAATATGCAAATATACAGATGACAGTAGTATCGCGTAGAAAATGTATAAATGCGAAGTGCTTTGGCAGGGCTTTCATTTGTGTTCAAGTTATTCATGTGAAGAGGCTTTGACGTGATTATGGCCGCACGACGAGAATTAACAGACTTTGAACGCGGAATGGTAGTTGGAGCTAGACGCATGGGTCATTCCATTTCGGATATCGTTAGAGAATTCAACATTCCGAGATCCACAGTGTCAAGAGTGTGGCGAGAGTATCTAATTTCAGGCATAACATCCCACCATGGACAGCGCAGTGGCCGACCACCTGCACTTAACGACCGAGACCAGCGATGTCTGCGTAGAGTTGTCAATGTTCACAGACAAGCAACACTGAGTCAAATAACCGCAGAAATCAATGTGGGACGTACGAGGGACGTGTCCGATAGGACTGTGCGGCGAAATTTGTCTTCCTTGGGCTATGCCAGCAGAAGACCAACTCGAGTGCCTTTACTGATTGCACAACATCACCTGCAGCGACTCTCGTGGGCTCGTGAGCATATTGGTTGGTCCCTAAACGAATGAAAAACTGTGGCTTGTACAGATGAGTCACAATTTCAGTTGGTAAGAGCTGATGGTAGGGTTCGAGTGTGGCTCAGACCCCACGAAGCCATGGACCCAAGTTCTCAACAAGGCACTGTTCAAGCTGGTGGTGGTTCCATAATGGTCTGGGCTGTTTTTACATGGCATGGACTCGGTCCTCTGGTGCAACTGAACCGATCATTGACTGGAAATGGATACCTTCAGCTATTTGGAGATCACTTACAGCCATTCATGGACTTCACATACTCAAACAACGATGGGATTTTTATGGATGACAATGCGCCATGTCACCGGGCCACAATTGTTCGCGATTGGTTAGAAGAACATTCTGGACAATTCCAGCGAATGATCTGGCCACCTAGATCGCCCGACGTGAATCCCATCGAACATTTATGGAACATCGAGAGGTCAGTTCGTGCCCAAAACCCTGCACCGTCAACACTTTCACAATTATGGACGTCTATAGAGGCAGCATGGCTCAATATTCCTGCAGGAGACTTCCAACGACTTGTTGAGTCCATGCCATGTCGAGTTGCTGCACTCGCCGCAAAAGAGGAACAACAAAATATTAAGAGGTATCCCATGACTTTTGTCACTTCAGTGTAGATTCAATTTTAATTTATATGTTACCATCACCTTTGGTCCATTGAGTTTTATCTGTCTAGTGGCAAACTCTCAAGACAATTTTTAATTTATAGAAAAATTATTTGAACTTAGATTTAGAGAATGAGATGGCTGCAGAACTGAAATGCTTTTTAAATTTTAAAAAAACAATAGGGTAAGCATTTTGTTATAAGGGGCTTATTGTGTTGCAGCATCCAAGGGTGTCAAATTCTTCACCACACATCAGTAATTCTTTTTTAAAGCATTTCAGGAACCTCGTGGTAATGATGATTCATGTTTTGTGTTAGAAAGAATATCTTGTGAATTTTCCAGTTTTGAAAAAAGGAAATCAGCATTAGTTTTAGATTTGTTTTTACTTGCTTTTTTATGACATGATTATTTTTATGACACAATAAACTATTTGTATGCCATTTCTAATTTTTATATTTTGTTTTCAAATTACATAGGAAATTCTAGGATTATTCACTGGTTAATGCTTTCTAGGGGAAATGTCTTTCAGTACAAATGCATTTGAAAACATCTAAATACATACTTTTTCAATTTTCTGTTTTTCTTTCTCTGCTTCAATATTTCATAGAACTTCCATATGTCATATTTCTGGATCAAAATTCTGTGAACTGTAAAATGTTTCCGCTTACTATGCTGTTAATCAATGTCTGGATGTGGACCAGAGAATTCAAACACAAATTTTTTCAATTATCTCTCTGCACAAATATTTTTTGGGGGAGGGGCAGGCAATCAGTGTGGCAAATACCAACTTCCTCTTCTCTACTGGGTTAAAAATTTTTATACTATAAAATGGTTTGTAGCTAATTATCCACATTGCTAATTATTGATTTGATCCTATAAGATTTTCTCACTGTTGTTGCATTTTCATCCATTTTGGATATGCAGAGCTCTACTAGAGCTCAGTGACTCATCTTTCAGTGCTTTTCGCAGCCATTTGGCTTTGTGCCACTTTGTATCTGTATAAAGCATGCTTTCTGTATTCTGCCTCATCTTTTTAGAGGTTTCATGAGCATCAGTAAAATTTTATCGTCAGTATTGTTTGAAATTGTGATTCTCCATTGTCATGATAGATTGCTATAAGACATGTTTAGAAAATGCTCACTAAAAGACAAATATTTATGGTTGAGAGTAGAAACGCATTCTTTATTTCAAGTGATGTTACCCAACCTACTGTATACAGAGATACATCTGCAGGGTCTTATTTCCTATGCAGTGTGATCTGTCTGGTTAGTTTTTCTTGCTTTTTTTAACTAAAATTTTGTACAGTATCCTAGGTTATATAATTATATATATATATTTTGTATTAGCAGTATCTATTATACATTTGTTGCAATCACACTCATTGTTAAATAGATATCTGGTTGGACTTGGCAATATGCCCAGTACTCTTTTCAAAAAACATGAGAAATTAGACATAACTCCTTGTAGAGTTCGGTGTTTCTGTACCCTCTCTGGGATTTGAACTTCAAATCTTCCACTTGATAACTGGATGTGATAACTGTTGTTACTACAAGAGCATGTATCAGAGAGTATGATATTTCTTAACATTCTTCCTAATTAAAAGGGTAACGGGAGAGGCAGAAAACCCAGCCAGTTAGAAATACTAGTGTTAAAGAATTATCGTCTACTACTTTTTTACTATAAATGTTACTGGGTTTTTTAAAGCCAGGAAATGTAAAAAGTAAATTGTATCCTTGCAAGGATTTAAATCACTGATCTTTCATTTGTCATATGGATTTGCTAACCACATACACTGTGACAGCATGCAGAGGAATGTTTTAAATCTTTTTATCAACTTTTACTTCCTATGGATGAAATCAGTATTTCAGTTTTAAATAGCCTTTCAATGCTAGATACTGTGACTTGCATAAAATTTATTAGCATTCGGATATAAAATATTTGAAGGCTTTAGTGTATTGCATTATTGCACTGAACAATATATTTTTTTTTATCAGTTTTTGTACTTGTAATGCTAAATTTAATGAGAAAGGACTGGTATATATGTAGAACATTAGAATTGGGCTGCTAAAATTATTTAATTGAATGCTCGAAATTTCTGGAGCAGGAATTAACCTTTTAACTGTCATGCCTGAGATAATCTCGGGCACAGCACTGGTGTTCGAAAATGTTACGCCCAAGTATTACTTAAGGCAATTTTTTTTTAGTGCATTGTATTGTTATACCCGAATATATATCAGGAGACGTTTATTTTGGCTTCATCTCTTTGTCAAACCCGACTGCATTTCTTGAAAAGTTAATGTGCACTCAATTCAATAGATGGCAGCACTTTACTGAAGATTTCAAAGGTTAGAAGTTCTTTGGTTCAAAGTGTGCTGGATCTTTTTTTTTTGTAAAATAGCGTCCAGTTCTTTGAAATGTTATATAGATGATTTAGATTCTTCAACCGAAGATGAAGATTTTGAAGGCATCGTTACTAGTGACGTAGGTGAAACTGAGGAGAGTGACATTGAAAGTAGCAGTGAATCAACGGATAGTGGTGATGATGATATAGGAAATGTGAGAGACTGGTGTGAAATAACTGCTTCTGGCCGATCAGGGCCCCGCAGTTCCCTTTTACAGGTACTCCAGGTGTAACTTTTCCTGTAAACATAAACTACACTCCTTTAGATATTTTAGAAATGTTTCTGGAAACTATGCAGAACAAGAAAGAAAAGCAAATCAGGCAAAGATATCAAGGTGCTCCTGCGGTAAAAATGGATCCCTACAAATGACAGAGAAATGAAGCTATTCTTTGGGCTAATAATTCTTCAAAGTATTGTCCGAAAACCAAATTAGGCTATGTACTGGTCTCATCGAAGGATTTTGCATACTTCAATTTACTCAAAAGTAATGCCCGTAAATCGTTTTATTTTGCTTTTTCGATATTTACATTTTTGCAATAATGAAGCTGAAAAAAAGATTTTCCAAATCCAAAACTTTGGAAGCTGTATAATGTGATAGAAAATTTATGGGAAAAATTTTGTAATTTTTACATACCAGAAAGTGATGTATTGGTTGATGAAAGCTTGATGCCTTATAAAGGAAGGTTATCTTGGAAACAATATATTCCTATCAAACGTGCACAATTTGGAATCAAATTTTTTTTATCCTTCGTGAGGCGGAAACAGGGTATATTTGTGACTTCATTATCTATAGAGGAAATAGTACTGTTTTCAATCAATTGTATACAAATTATGGACTTTCTACAAAAGTCGTCATGCATCTATAGCATCGCTAGATTTACTTATAGCCCAAAAACAGATATTTATGGCACAGTAAGGATAAACAGACGAGATTTACGTAAAGAATTCGCTAAAAGAAAATTACAAAAAGGTCAAATCATAGCTTTTCAAAGAGGTAAGATTTTGGCTATAAGGTGGAAAGATAAGAAAGGATGTGTGTTTGATGAGCAGTATTCATGATACTTCCATGGTCAGCCTCAAAATAAAAAAAAGTGAAGATATACTCAAGCCAAAGATTGTTTCTGACTACAATCTAACTATGGGTGGTGTAGATAGCTGTGATTAGGAAATATCCTTTCATCCAACAATCTGAAAACGTCAGAAAAAATATTATGAAAAGATATTAGATTTACTAGACTAGATACTCTGGAACTCATATTTGCTCTATAAAAATGTAGTTGGGAAACGTATTACATTTTTAGAATTTCGAATCCAAGTTGTAGAAGAACTTTTACATAAATATGATGATGCAGCTTCTGGACAAATGAATGTTGGCAGACCACCTACAATAGATAACCCTGCCCGTCTTACTGAATGACATTTTATATCCCATATTCCTCCTACTCATGCGAAACGTGAGCCTACAAGACAGTGCAAAGTGTGTTGTTCGAAAAAGATAAGGAAAGAAACACGATTCTGGGGTAGTGATTGTGGAGTTGGTTTGTGTTTGGAAAAGTGTTTCCATTTGTACCACACAAGACTGAATTACTAAACTACTAATAGGTATTCACTTTATTTTTTTTTTTTTTTTTTTTTTTTTTTTTTTTTTTTTTTTTTTTTTTTTTCATTTTTAGAAAATAATGCCTCATTAGAAGCGAACTTTACAACTGCCATGTTGAGTGGCAGCCGCCTCAAGCAAATATGCAGTGGCTACAAAATTTTCAAAATTTTACTTCAAAATATCAATTTTTAACTACTAAGTATATTTTATTTTGTACTAAACATTTGATTTTTGCAATAAAAAAATTTGACAATTTGTGTACCCAAATTATCAAAATAACTTGATAGTTAAAAGAGTTAAATAAATATATATGTGATTCTGATGTTTATTGTGGTCTTCAAGATTCAGTACAGGAAAAAATTATATGACTTGAAATGGTTAGTAATTTCTAATTTTGTTGCTATATACTTCAACTATCTTTTTTTATTATTTTTAAAAATGAAGAAATTTCTTAGAATTCTGTTGTATGCATAATCAGGTTTTAAACTTCCTTTGTGAATTTTGTAGAAATTAAGAATTTTATTTTAAAAAGCATTTATTAATATTATAATTGTTCATACAACAAATATGAAAATATTTAATGGCAGCAAATTATTAACCATAAAATGATTTTAAAAGTGACCTTCATAATACTATTGCTATTTGCAGAGCTCTTTGCTTGATTTAAAATTTTATTTAAAATTTAAAAAAAAATTTAATTGGCATTTGGATTAAAATTCATATCACTTTGGAGGGTGATCTGATGTAGATCCCTCTTTTTTTGGAGCAATGTCAAACAAACTTGAAGTTTATAGAGTTTTATTAAAAATTTATGCCAAACTAAAAAGAAAAAGAAAAAAGCTTTTTTGTTTCTGAAAAAGAGGACTTTTGTCAGATCAACTTCAAAATCTGTTCCAGTATATAGTATTGTTTTGCTTAATTTAAAATTTTACATTGGTATATTTTTCTTTCACTTAGCTATAAAATGCTTTTAAATAGACATTATCTAATTTCAGAGATTTATGTCATCCAAATCTGCTGCGTTTATTGGGGAGATGTTTGGAAGTCCATCCTTTTCTTTTAATTATGGAGCACTGTGATATGGTTATTATTATTTTTTTTTAAATTTTCCTTTTGTGTTTTTGAATTACTTATTTGTAATGCCTCTGTACTCCTTGATGCATTGTTTGCGTAAATACAAACTCTGTATATATATAGGTATTATTATTATTATTATTATTTTGTTACTGCAAAAAATGTTTAAAATATCAGTTTCATTGTGTTATGTTCAGTATCTTTTGAATTAATTTCCTTTAAAACTCTCATATAATTTATGAATAAATTTTTATTTATTCAGAGTAAATTTTTCTTAGCGCCTTTGTGCCCTTTGAGGCTCACTTTTTGTGAGTATGAGTGGGTCAGTCCTGAGTAGCCCTTCATCAGTTGATCACCTTGGTGAAATGGGTGTCACAGTCCTGGAACTCCAGTGATCTGTCCTCTTTTCTGTTTCCCCTTCTCTCAGCTTTAACGTTTTCCTCCTTATTTCTCTTGTGGTTTTCTCTGTGGAGGTTAGAGCTTACTGTGAGATGCTGTTAAATCTCTTGTATTTCTGGCTTACCATGGTGAGTATACTGCGTATGGATTTATGGATTTGCTGTGCATAGTGACTCATGCAGCTGGAGAGTCCTGGTGATTGAGGGGCAAGGAACTGTCTCCAGAATACCACTGCTATCCTCACTAGTGTCAATCAGCTGGTCACTAGTCCCCAGGAATAGGGCTTGGGGATAAGCTCTCAGGAGTAACTGCTTTCAGGAAAGCCTACTAAGAGGCTTCAGTTTGTGTAAAGTCCAGCTAGCCCTAACACAGTAATCTGTGTTTCCTTGTTGAGCTGCATAGTGGGTGAGTCAATCGGAACTGAATCGTTATTCTTTCCATGTGGAATTTGAAATTTCTCAGGTTTTTAACACCAATAGAAACTTTGCACCGAAGTAAATGCTAGTGATTTCTGTACTGACCACCCTCCTTGTTTCATTGTTAATATAGAAAACGAGTAGCAGAAATTGTCTCCCTTACTGATCAATAAGTGCGTTTCATATATTGCAGATGAACTATGAATATTAAGAGACTCAGAACTAGTGACCTCGTTCAGACTACTAGCACTGTCCTAACCACAATTCTGCTGAAGATAACATCCATAGGGCAAGTTAAGGTTTCAGTCTCAGCCCATAAATCTGTAAATTTTCTTGAAGTATAATCTCAGAGCCACACATTATAGTGTCTGAGGAAGAAATTGAGCTTAAAGACCAAAATGTTTATGGTTAAAGTATAGAGAAGATGACTAGTTGCTGCCTACCAAGCATATTATACCAAGGTTAAACCCCTGATGTGTGCTGCCGACCATGTTCTGTCAGGAAGATGTGTCTGAAGGCTGCATTCTTACTGTTACAATTTTTAGCTTAAAAATAAACTCTGCCCTAAAAGAATGTCCTTGTACCATTTCTGGTACTTTTTATGTTGATGATCTCCAGATAAGTTGTTTACATGCAGATATGAGATACATAGAAAGCAACTTCGGATTGCTATTAATAGGATCCAAAAGTGATAAAAAAAACATGGTTTCATGTTTTCAGAACAGAAGACCGTATATGTCTACTTTTGTAAAACGCGTAACTTCCATCCTCAGCTTGAGCTTTATCTTCAAGGTTTGCTCATTCCAGTAGCATCGGATGTAAGATTCGTAGGAGTATTGTTTAACCAAAAATATACTTTCCTTTCCCATATTCTGTACCTAAGGAAGAAGTGCATCAAAACGTTTAATCTTCTAAAAGTCATCGTAAACACTTTATGGGGGGGGCAGATCATTGCTGTTTGCTTTGGATTTATAGAGCTCTTGTATGCTCTTGACTTGATTATGTTTCTAGATGACCCTCTGTGTTATTGAAACTAGGTCCTGTTTATCATCAGGCTCTGCAGATACTTCTGGAGCATTCAGAACATCTCTAGTTGGAAGTTTCTGTGTTGATTGTTGTGAACCATCGCTTAAATTAAGGCCTGAGCAGTTGTCTCTTAGCTGTTATTTCAATATATTATCAAAACTTAATCATCCTTGTAAGTTCATTTTGTCTGATGATATGAGTAAGGGTCTGTTTGAAGCATAACCTTCTTGCATGCCTTATTTCTGTCTTGGGTTTTCTTCATTAATTGAGGAACATCACATGACAGATTTGAGGGCCTAGCCAGCAAAGCATTTCGAAATCCTACCTTGAGTGAATTCTCAGTTTTGGCTTCTTGACATGTTGCAACATCATAGCAGTGGTTATACGGTAAAAGTATATTTAAGGGTACCCCTTGGTGATTTTTGGCGGTAAATGGATACCAAATTTGTGCAATTCTTTAACTTGTTATTTTGGGCCAAAAATCGTCGCTACACAAAACCAAAATAACAAGACAAAGAATTGCACAAATTCGGTATTCATGTACACATCAACCTATTTTCACTTAAAAAAAATCAGAGAATTGCACAAACTAGGCTTTGTGCACTCCCTTGACTTTGTCCATGTACACATTGAACTATATTCATTTAAAAAGTCAAAGGAGCAGCCCACAAAAAATATATAATCTGAATAAACTACATTTTAAATCAAACAATAAAATAACATAAAAAGGGAAATTCATCTTAGCACTACACGAAGGAAATATCCACTTAGCTTATTTACAAATTTATGCATCTTCAGTCAAACAAAATTCCTTAACAGCATCCAAACTATCTGAACTAGAATCTGTATACTGGTGTTGCCACATAAATTCTCAAAATAAGAGTAAAAAATATCCTCCATTCGAAAATATCCGATGTTCGATCATACTCATTTCCTTCCTCCAAACCGGACACATAATAATGGCTACTAAGTAAACATTGATTTACATACCAGTTAATTAATGTTTTTTTCCCTTTCCTTCCAAATCCTACGGAAACATCAAATTTATCTTGCCACATTCAGCCAATTTACCATGTAAATATCAAAATAACAACGTACTAATCCATCACACACAAGCCCATATCCCAAATTGGACACATGCTTTCCAAATTTTTTCAATTACATCATAATAGGTTTCCATAGGCTTCAACTACTCAGGTTGTCATAAATGAGACAACAACTTGGCGATAAATGAAACAACAATTTCGCGATAATACAAGGGGTACCCTAAAGTCAACTCTAACAACCAATGATACTAATCAGATGGTGTACAAATAGCATTTTCTTGAGCACAGGCAGAAATACAGTAGTTACAGATGGGTTGAAAGCAGTTGGACATGTTAGTGCATAATTTATTATTGGAAACCACATGGTGGGTAGAGGCATGACACTGGCTCAGTCCTGACCTCAGAACTAACTGCTGTATATTATATTATGCAGTTTAGTTCATGTCCATGCTATGCCAAAGAATGTTTATAATTTATATTGGCTCATTTAGTGCATTAAAAATATTAGAATCATTTTCTGAGACCTAGAATCCTGTCATAGTTGATACCGTAATTTCCTGAAGAAAGGCTGCATCAGCGTAAACGGCGCACTTCAGAAAAATGGCGGGAAAAAAATTAAAATTACAGAGAAATGCCGCATCAGCGTAAACGCCGCAATAGATTAGATTGCGTGTGACATCGTTGTGGGCTGTATAGATGCAAAATCTCAACCTATGTCCTGATATATGACAAATCAGTTAAGAAAAATGCATGAAATGAAACCATAACTCAAAAATAAATTAAAGGTAAGAAATGTTGAAAATATATTTACATTCACGAATATACTTATATTTACCCACTAAAGAAGCCAATATTTGTAATACTTAGACTATATATTAAAAAATATGTTGCAACAACGAAATATTAAATTTGGATTACAAAAGGAAAATTTTAAATTTTACAAAATTTTACATACAAAGCAATTACTATATGTCATCAAATGAAGCCATCAAAATCTGATTCTTCACTTTCTGAATTAAAAAGATTTAGTAAATCCTGATCTAAGTCCAAGTCTTCCAGATCGTCACATTCATCCTCTTGGTTTACAGTCTCTTTTATCTAAAGATATAATTTCAGCTTCTTTGAATCCTGTTATTATTGACAATGTTTTTACCGATTTCCATGCACTTCCTACCCACTTTGCAACTTCTTCATAAGATGCTGTACAAATTTACCGCTTTTGGTATACATATGCAATCCTTCACTCATCCAACACTCCAACCGCTTTCGGACATCAGATTTGAAGGATTTATTACCTGACAAATCTAATGGTTGTAAGATTTTTGTCAAACCACCGGGAATTATTGCTATGGTCATAGACAATTTTCGACATCTGGTTTTCACTGACTCAAGTAAATGAGCACACATGGATTCCATTATTAATAACCCTTTTGGTTGGAAAAAAGATCCCTTACGACACTGCCAAACTTTTTGTAGCCTCTCATGCATGATTGTTTCGCACATCCAGCCATTCTCGTTTGCACAAATAATTATGTCAATAGGAAAATCTCCCTTCGGAATAGTTTTCCGTTTAAATGTGGTCATCGGCTTTAGCTTGTCGTAGTTTGCGGCACAAGCTAACACACATGCAAATTACCTTTCATGCCCCGTCCTAAGCACAGATACAGTTTTTGCACTAGTTTCATCAGCAGTTCTGTTTGCAGGCGAGTCGAAAGCTAACGGCGGAGCAACTGAACTGGGAACAACTGAGTGGTCTATGTACACTGCTCAAAAAAAAAAAGGGGGGGACAGTGCTATATCTCTTGTTCTACTGGGCCGATTGACAAAATTCAAACTGCGTTTTTCATGTCTCGAAAGCGCGACTTGGGATATATATTATATTTATATATAGCACTATTCTAACATAGGTATTTTGACACAAAATCGAACTCTGAAATAACATATCAATATTTTTCCATATTTCGATTCTACGACTCAAATTATGCCATAATACCAAGTTTTGTAAAAATCGTACGAGTAGTTTTTAAAATATTAGCTTTCAAAATTTTAGCTCCTCAATGTTAATTAAATTTGGCAAATATTTATTAATATCTCCTTTTATATTAAACTTTTTTGATTTTTT